AGCTGAGGTAAATGCATCTGAGGTAAGTGATACAAAAGCCAATGATAATAAACCACAATCTTTAATTACTGCTTTATTCGACGATGAGCCAGAAAATTTCTCCGATGACGATGAATTTACCAATGATAACGAAGAAGATGAGAGTTTCTGTGGTTTTTCTGATGACGATGATGAAGGTTATTATTATGATTTAAATACCGGCGAAACTTATACGAAATCGAACCGTTCAATCTATGCCTATTAGATACAGAATCCCTTGCTTCGCAAACAATAGACATTTATAAACGATACATTTATACCGACGTATCTGGCATCTGTGTGCCTATATATTATTGTTACAAGCCCTTTGGGCGACTCTTCGAGTCATAAAGTGAATTTTTTATGCATGACGAATTATCACGATCACTTTCGCCAAGAAGAAATAAGGTCAGACACGTAGTGCTATAATCATATCTTTATTTTTTAAAAATAAAATATTGAGAGTTAGAGCTCGGCTAAGTAAAAATTATAGAGTAGCAGGATGTTTCAAGGGAGGAAAGGCATAAAAACATTAGTAATATATATACTACACAATCCTTCTTTGACTGTCCAAAATTAATAAGAAAAAATCTCGACTATATTGTTCTCTTCAATGGTAGTGGCACATATGATGAGCTAGTTAACATTGCTCGACGATATACGAAAAATTGGCGCAATGTTATTGATATACTCGATAAAAATTTACAAGGACGAGAGTTTATTGTGATCGATTTAACTAGAGCTAAGGAAGATCCTTTGTATATAAGGAAGGGTTGGGATGTCCCATTGAAATTGGATGAATAAACCAAGGTTTGACAATCAAATATTTATTTTTTCCGTTATTTATTGGCATATTAATATAATACATCTATCTGCCACTTCTTATATTATTGAGAAGCTGTACGTATCAAGCCTGTATTGAAGTTAGAGTGGTGTAGGGCCTAGCCCATTGCTTTGCAATAAAAATAATGAGCTCAATATATTATTCACACTAGGGATTTTTGTGACCCATAAAACAGCTTGACATGTAAAAATCCAAGAAAAAAATAGCTATTAATCATCACGAAATAGCAATAAATAAAGTCTAAAGTACCAACCCTCAAGAGATACTTTAGGTGATTTTATTTTAAATAAATATATAAATTACATCGAATAAGTTATACATTAATAAATAGATATGTTAATCAGATAAATAATATAGTTTATACATTGTTAATTTGACGCATTTCTTCTCGAACAGCCCATAATAATTGGTAATGCATAGCTAACTGTGTGGCACACATGCCTTCGGGTTTGTAAAATATTTCTAACCATTTCCGTTGTATTATTGTACATGCTTGGATTTTTCTACCGACTTCTCTAGCACGTTTAACTTTTCTAATAGCATTCTGCATCCACAATTCATAACGACGAATTGCTTTTTTTTCGTAGAAAGGGTTAGTCAGTTCAGTTTCTGGTTTATATTTTCAGCTTCAACCTCTGCGAACTTCTTTTTAAGTTCATTAATCTGAAGAACAAGTTTTGTATTCAACTCTCTCAACGATCTGATTGTGAGCTGTGTATCTGCCATTATTTTTTATTTAAGATACGGATATATTCAATTAATTCGTCTGCTCATAAATTTCACGTGGCAAAATTTCAGCGAACAAATCCTCAAAAATGTTCGTCGAAAAATATCAAGAAAAATTCTCGATCATTGTTATCAGCGGAGCTGGCATTGGCCAATACAATAAAATAAATCCAGAAATCTTTACTAATAAAAATTTTATGCTATTTACTTTCCGATTTATCATATAACATCACGGTTGATATCTTGTTGATCGATCGATGTGTGATGGTTATAGTACATCTATCGCCGGAAAATTGTATCATATGCGTGTAATACACCCGAAATAGATTTCACGTGTCAAAAATAGATCATAATAAATCCATAGTACACGAGCGATTTATACATAAATATCGCCACAAATAAATTCTTATTGCGAAGCAATGGCTCTTTGAGCCTAGAATCAACTCTAAACTATTGCAAAGCAACGATGGCACGTAGTGCCGAATCTCCGATTCTCCTTCGGGTCTACAATTCTCGCTACAACTCAATATGAATATATCCCATTCTCATCATATATATCACTCGCAAAATATAACGAATATATATAACCCATCTAATAATCCAGGCCTTGTGGGGCGCTCTTCGAGCATCTGTGCTAAAAATGAATCGTATATTCTTATACTATAAAAAATCAAATCTAATAGGTAGGTCTAGCCACGAAGTGAGTGTTTTCAGCAAATATCCTAATCGATAAATATGTCTGGTTTTG